ACCTAAAAATAAATATACAGCAAGCTCAACATGTCTAAAATATGAAACAAGAAGAGTTGAGAACTTAATGGATCCACAAAGGTCATTTCCAATCCAAACTAGGCCAAGCACTTGTGTGAGTTGTCCTATGAGATGACCTAACTTGTAAGTCACTTCAAAAATAGGAAAAGGGCTCAAAAAAATCAAATAAAATGCACCAAGAAGCTACACATGTTGGCAACCAGAGGCCAAGAAGTCAAGACAAATGTCCTCTCAAAGCACCATCAAAAGAATCAATTCATTTGGATGTACCACTTTGAAATGGAAGAAACAAAGGCAATAAGAAAAGCCACAAAAGTCAACCCAAAAGTCAACAACCAAGGGCAAAATGGTCCTCTAAAATTGATCAACTCATCATTGAGATGAGGATCAATTTTCAATCATTGAATCCAAAAGGAAAGAGAGAAATAAATGCAAACATAAAACATGTTACAATTTAAACCAACTAAAACAACTCCAATATTTAATTCATTTTTTAATTGAAAATAAAATGGAAAAATAAAATAAAAATACCCAAAAAAAAGTAGACATCTCAAAGTTGATAAAAAATATTTTTGGTGAATTTTTAACATATTGTTGCTATTTTAATTAATTAAAATTGTAAACAGAAAATAAAATAAAAAACAAAAATAAAATAAAATGAAAATAAGAAAAGTGCGTGGCAAATAACAAGGAATAACAATTCAAAAGTGGATTGGGCCCAACTGGGGGTGTAAATAGCACAGGCGTGCAAGGCTCACTCAGAAAAATCAAACAAAATAAAACCTGGCAGCTCACGTGTGCACGGGTCAACCAAAGACCACCATGAAATTCAATCTGGAGCGCTTGATCAATTAGCAAGTAATCACATCAGAGGGTCATCATAACGCCATCACATTAATGAAATTTTAAACGCAATTACATGAATCCAGTCAACTTTGGACTACCGTGTTTCTTAATTTTCACCGTTCACATGGAAAGTATGCAAATCAGACGACCTACACGCTGCCATGACATCATCTCTAACCTTCAGTAACCCTAAATCACACCAGCTGGTCGAAGATCACTGTAGATCATCTTCTCCGGCCATCCTCCGCCGTGAACAGAACCAGCACCACACACATATCCAAATCTCAACCATTTTGGACAAAATTTATACCAAACTTCATCTAGATATCACGAGGATCTCATATCTAGCCTCAAAAAACACTAAACATGCACACAATTCCAAACCCGAAGACAACAAGAATGAACATCAAAATTCAAAGTTCACCAAAACCTCCCCAATTTGATCCAGAACTCATCTAGAGCTCACGTAAGTTACAGATCCATCATTAAAACAAGCAAGATCATGCACAAACAAGCCAAAACAGATCCAAACATTTTCAAGCATCATCCAACAATCACAACCAATGCCAGTTCATTTTACATTTTAATGATCTACATTGATCCTACGTCTCAAGTATGCAAAAATGGAAGTGAATTGATGCTTAACAAGAGTGTAAAGTTGAATTTCAATTACCTAGTGGAGAACTTCTACTGAGCCTTCAAATGGAGCTCAAGCTTGAAGATATTTGCCCAGAATCGTTCACTGAACTTCACTAAAGCTTTCTCAATTCACAATTTCTCTTGAAACACCCTCAATCTCCAAATTTGAAATTTGAATTTTCCACACTTTTTCAAAATCATTTCTGATCAATTTGGCTCCAATTTGCACTTCTGAGGATTTGTTCATGGCCAAAACATTATATATGATGGATCTTGATGATATTTGAGCCCAAACTCAGCCTCTAACAGCCCAATAAAAAATCCAAGGAATTGAATTTCAAGCTTACTCATGTACACGAATTTCACACTAAAATGGCTCCAAAATGGTTGGAAACACTTGCTGGTACCACATGGAGTATGAATGGTCAGGATTAAGACCTTAATTGATCTCAATGGTTGAGATTTGTTATGTAACTTCATAGTGAAGAAACCTTGAAAATGGCTCATTTAAACACCTCAAATCCAAATTGTAAAATTGCCAAATTGTTTAGAATGTTGTTTGCACTCAAAAAATGCACTTATTTGCACCAAAATGTTCAAGAGTGAATTAATTCTCATTTCCCCCTTTTTAACCTTCTTCCATGAAAGTTTACATATCCAACGCTCAAACCAAGCCAATTCCATGACTTATCAATGCTTGACTAAGCAAATAACACCATTTGGAGCAAGTTTGATGTTGGAAAAATCTTCATTTGAAGTGTGCAAGTTGGTGAAATGGACTCATAATTTTATGACCTGTAATCTTACTTTCCCAAAATACCCCTAACTTGTAAACCTCATAACTTGAGTTCTACAAATCAGATGAAATACTTCTAGTACATTTTGGAAAGCTAATATCAATACCTACAACTTTCATGTTGGAAAATAGTTGAGGAGACACATCCTTCTAGGTCAAAAATGGCTTGGAAGTTGGTTGACTTTTGTTTACCAAAATCACATCCCTCTGATGACCTGTAGTTTGTCTGGATCATAACTTGAGTTCTATAAATCCAATCAAGGACTTCTAGTACTCAAATTAAAGCTAAGAACATGCTCTACAAGTTCCATGTTGGTCAAAAGTTGAGAAGAAACTTGTATCTTGAGATAGGTGGTCTTGAAGTCAGGCACTAAATAGGGGATTTTACCTTGAGAACCCTAATTTAGTAACTTCTCACACACTTGATCCTTGATGAATTGAACTTGAAATGATGTCTCATATATCTTAACACAACATTCCCATGACCATAGATACTTTGAATTGAGTTTTAATCTCCTTCAATTTCACAGTTGACTGAGGACTAGCCAGATGAAACCCTAATTGCAACACTTTCAACTGCAACTCTTCACACTTGGTATACACACTTGGATGAGCTCCACAATGACCTTCAAGACACTCAATGAACTCTCTCAACCTCTTATATCCATAACCATGAATCCACAACCCCTGATGATCTTCAATTGGCCTCCAAGTTAGGAGTTGACCCACATACATCTATCCTTTCTTTCACAAGACCAATGCCCACTCCTTGATGACTTGATAACCATCCAAACTTGAGTAACATCCCTTGCTTAGGCTCAAACTTCTGAGTAGACTCCTCTTGCTATGCACAAGCTCTTGATCCCCTGTTCAATAAAAATGCTATGCAATGTAAATGCTAGAAAGAAATGAAATGAAACATAAACCAAGTTAAGAAAAGGTTGGGCAAATTTTGGGGTGCAACACATCAAAGGAGGAATATTGACCTACATATCAAGGGGACATTGTTTGACACAACGAAACTATACGAAGGAAGAAAACAAGTTGCCCCAATAGCACACATATTAGAACAAAAATGGATACGACTAATAAAATGGTAAGATTATGCAGTACATCGCCGTCAACCTGGACACAATCGAAAAAATTGTCCCAATGTTGGAACGAGCTCCAAAATATAATTATTATATGCATTCTCGATATGTAATTTATTTTTTGTAACCATGAAACTTCATATTAAATAAAACTTTCGGTTACAACAAAACGAAAAACAAGAACAACATAAAATAACAACACAAAGAACAAATAAAAAGACTTAACACTATAACATATCTAAGAGATTACAACCATGAAAACAATATCATCTAGTCCAAACATCATATCACGGATATCACTGTCAATTTTAATTGACTCCCAAAACTAGGTTGGTTCACTATTCTCATTCGCATGGTTGAACGCCGAAACAATCATATCAATTCTTCTAATTTTTTTCACCCTCTTGAATTTCTCCGTATAACCAACAGATCAAGCTCCTTTCTAGATGCTCGAAAGTTTGAGTGTTCTAAAGTCGGGTCTTTATTGGAAGTTCGAGGATCAAAAGACAAACATGAGCATCTTTTTTAATAATCATGTTAAAATTTAGAAGAAAAAAATGAAGAATGAAATAAGAAGATGTGTGAAAAATGGTGGAGAATGAATGCCTATTTATAAAGAAAAACAACAAACTATAGTGCTAGGAGAGTGGTGTATGCTCTTATGTCTACAATACATGCACCAGTGAAAATGATACATGTATATTTTATGCGCTAGAGGGAATGACACATGAGTATTGTATGTATCATAGGGCATGACGCCTATGTGCAATTTTCATCATGCATGCGTCAGCACTAGTAACACCTCTTAATTGCGATTTTTTTTTTGTTGCTTAAAACATAAGAATTTTGATTAATAATAAAAAAAATGGTTATTAGAATATTTAAGTTAAAATGTTGGGTTATTTGGAAAAAAAACTGAAATTTTAAGTTATTTAAAATTTGTGCAAACATGTCACTTCATTGCTCACGAAAAAAACATGTCACTTGATCATTTTTGAAAAATCTGATTTGGGGAAACTTAGTAGAGAAAATGAAATCAACATGCAAGAGATTGCATTGTTATATCTCATTCATCTTTTTAACTTTCCACGTGCTTTCCTCAAACTATTGTTGCTTAAACCAACAATGATTGATAGCAACTCCAACCTCCAAAGCACTTCACATTCCTTTGCATGTAAGTATCATCACCAATTCGTTTAATCCCATTTTCAATTCCAAAGACCAAACTTTTTCTCAAAAAAGTTAAACCCAAAAAAGCATTGTGATATGTGAGTGGTAGCCTTAATCCCTGTTTTCTTCCATTGTTTATCACCAAAAAGATAAGAAAGCACTACTCTGTCTCTCTGTTCCTTTCTTTTTCTTTATTCAATTGTTTCTTTTTTCCTTGCTATTAGAGCAATTCCAAAACCTCTCTCTCAATCAAAGTATCAATCTTTTTGGCTATTTCTTCAACCCCATTTCAAAAAGATGACAACTTTAGTTTCCTTAACTCTTCACTCAAACCCCAAATGCTGTTTTGCTTTCTGGGTCAAAAACAATATCGCGATAAAGGAAGAAAAATTTAAACTTGCACTGGTTTTGGTGTTTCTGGTGGTGGTGGCAGAAACATGGCTAGCACCAGTGGAACAAAGGGTCCTTTTGAGATCTCTAGACAACCTTCTAAGAGGATGATAAGGGCACCGACAAGGACTGTTGAGTTGCCTAATGAAGAGAATATTAGGGATAGTGAGATTGTTCCTTCTTCACTTGCGGTTCTTGTGCCTATTCTTAGAGCTGCCATTGATATTGAAGTGGAGAATCCTAGAGTTGCCTATCTTTGTGAGTTATTTTTTCAATGGTTTTCACCTTTTGTTGTTGTTGTTTTTTTGCACTTATATTTGCTCAAGAGTGTACTATACTAATATGTTTTCTTTGCTTAATTAGGTCGCTTTCATGCATTCGAAAAGGCTCATACGATGGATCCAACATCAAGTGGGCGTGGCGTCCGGCAATTCAAGACATATCTTTTGCACAAGCTCGAAAGAGTATGCAGGCTAATTTTAATTTCTCGCAATTCTTTGATATTTTGAAGGTGGTTTGGTTTATGTGTTAAATGTAAATATTATTACAATCGTGAGAGAGTGAGGACCTGAGAGATCATGTATTTTCTCTCATGATCATTACGCGGGCATGTCCTCATTCGCTCACTATTGTACTTTTAGCAAGTACTTCTTAGAAAAGTATTTAACATTTAACAGATATTATGGTAGGTCTAAAGATCAATCGATTATGAACAAGAACACCATTCATTCATTTCTTAGTTGCTAAAAGCGAAAAAGGCACTAATTGATGATATATCAAACATTTTGATTAAAATTCATGGTTGTAGGAAGGGGAGATAACAGAGAAACATACTAAAAGAACTGATGCCAGGGAGCTACAAAGTTACTACCAAACTTTCTACGAGACTAAAATCCGGGATGGTGAATTTACTAAAAAACCGTAAGGCTTGATTTTTCTTAAACTTGCTTTTGGAGGTTGTGTGAATCATGTGATCTTACGAAGTCTTATTATTCTTCTGATGTTTCTCTTGAAGGGAGGAGATGGTTAGGAATGTTCAGATTGCCACCGTGTTGTATGAAGTACTGAAGACTTTGGTAACTCCGCAAACTATTGAGGAGAAGGTTTGTTTTTCTTGATTATGTTACTATTACTTAAATTTGTGCAATAGTGCCTTTTTTCGGTTTGTGCTAAGAGTTGTGCCTTATAACCTCGTTTTTTGCCAGACAAAAAGATATGCTGCGGATGTTGAGAAGAAGAAGGGACAGTATGAGCATTATAATATCCTTCCATTATATGCTGTTGGTGCTAAACCGGTGATCATGGAACTTCCCGAGGTTTGTGTATTATGGAATGCATTAAGTTTTGCTTCTGCTAAAATTTAACTTTATAATCTCCTTGGTCTTATTCTTTTTTATTCTTTGAAATTATAGATCAAAGCTGCAATTGCTGCTTTAAGTAAGGTTGATAATCTTCCATTGCCGTTGATTCACTCAAGACCTGATAATGATGATTCTACAATGCCTATGGAGAGGGTTAAAAATGTGAATGATATACTTGATTGGATTGCCTCAATTTTTGGGTTTCAGGTAATATATATTTCTCTTCTATATTCAATTTTCTGTGATCCGAAGTTTACTTTGTCTAGTGAATAATCTAATTCGATGTTTGTGTGTTTTCCAATACAAAGAAAGGAAATGTGGCAAATCAAAGGGAGCATCTTATATTACTACTTGCCAACATGGATATAAGGAACAGGTCTGCATCTTATGAGGTAAATTATTATCTCGAAAAAACTTCTGTTTTTTTATTTATACTTTTTAATATCTAATACGAATTTAAAATATGTAATTATACTTATACTCGTGATATTGAGAACTGAAAAGAAGTTTGTTGCAGATCCGTGAAGAAACTGTTGAGAAGTTGATGGCTACAACTTTCAAAAATTATGAATCATGGTGTCAATACGTGCGTTGTAAATCAAATATTAGGTACTCCAATGCTTTTCTGTGACATGATAAAAGCGAAAGTGTGTATCATAAATTGCACTTTGTATAATGTTTATATTATAACAAGAACTCTTTGATTCATTTTTGTACTTGGCAATTTTTAACACTAGGTATGGAGTTGGTCATGACAAACAACAATTAGACCTGATCTACATTGCACTTTATCTTCTAATATGGGGAGAAGCTTCAAATATTCGCTTTATGCCCGAATGCCTTTGCTATATTTTCCATCACGTAAGTTTTCCATAACCACTTTTCGAACAATATCAATGTCATACTATTCATTCTTTTGTTGTTCCTACGAGTCTATCATTGCCAGCACATGTTCTATCATTTAAAACAACAACAACAACCAAAGTCTTATCCCACTAAGTGGGGTCGGCTACATGGACCGACTTCCGCCATAATGTTCTATCTAGGACCATGCTTCTATCCAAATTGTTAATCTCGATATCTTTCTTAATAGCTTCTCTTAGCAGTGACCGAGTAGTTACGAATCTTTTAATTTCAACTTCGTCTTTTAGCAGTGCAACGTAAAAAAAATGTTTAAAAAAACCGATACGTGAGATGCATATTAGATACATGTTGATAACTCATTTTCTTTTCCTCTCCTCCCATAGATGTGCAATGATGTCTACGGGATTTTATATAGCAACGCCATTCAAGTGAGTGGAGATGAATATCAAATAGTAACGCGTGATGATGAACATTTTCTGAGGGAAGTTATAACACCTTTATACGATGTTTTAATGAAGGTAAGTATGTTACTTATATAATTCATAATTTTTTTTCCTGTTTTTTTTTTTTTAATATGTTCCTTAAACTCTTTTCCGTGTTCGGTGACGAAGGAAGCAAAGAGAAGTAACAAAGGCAAGGCAAGTCACGCCAATTGGAGAAACTATGATGATCTTAACGAATACTTTTGGTAAATCTTTCACTAATATTTTACATATATCACAATAAGGAGAACACTCAAAACAATGCTAAAAATCCGATCTTTATGTACGATGGATAACAAAAGCTCAATTCTGTCCTTTTCCAGGTCTGACAAATGTTTTAAGCTAAATTGGCCAATGAATCTCAACTCGGATTTTTTTAGGCATAATGAGACACAAACAGCAAATCAGGTCTACATATATTTTTTTTCTATCTCTTTTGAATACGTTTCTATAAATTTGTTTCAATTGGCACCTATATTATTTGTTCGAGACCTTTTTTGAAGTACACATTCAAATGGCAGGGCCGGGGCCGGGGCCAAACAACCACTGGAGCTGGGAAGAAGAAGCCTAAAACAAATTTTGTTGAAGTTCGTACATATTTGCATCTTTATAGAAGTTTTGATCGAATGTGGATTTTCTTTATATTGGCTTTACAGGTAACCTTATTTCTCTCACACGCGGTATGTTTTTTAATGTTGGCTTTACCTGAATACCTACGCATATGGTTAAGCCTTGGAGTTTCACGGTGAAAATTTTCTTTCATATTTGACAGTAATTTTTTTTCACAGGCAATGATTATAATTGCTTGGAGTAACTTGGGACTTATTGGAGTGCTTACCGATGATGATGTCTTCAGAAATGTTTCCAGTATATTTATTTCATATGCTATTCTCAATTTCTTTCAAGGTACTCAATTTCGATATATCTATGCTTTTCGTTGTATCTAATTTTGTCAAATATTTATTTCATATTTTTTCTTGTATTGTTTATTTTCAGTAACTATTGATATTATTCTCGTCTGGAATGCATTGAGGAACATGAAGTTCACTCAGTTGCTTCGGTATTTCCTGAAGTTTGTCGTAGCAGCGGTTTGGGTTGTTGTTTTGCCAGTGAGTTTTCGTAGTTCTCTTCAGAATCCAAGCGGTCTTATAGAATTTGTCACCCACTGGGCTGGGGACTGGGGGCCCGGGTCTCTCTATTACTATGTTGTTGCGATATATATGATACCAAACATAGTGGCTGCAATACTATTTTTCCTTCCACCCATGCGGAGAACATTGGAGCGCTCGAATATGCGAATCGTTACCCTTTTAATGTGGTGGGCTCAGGTCAGAAACACAATCATTGGTGTTTTTAGCCTATTTTACCTTTATCCAGATGCTTCGTTCGTAATATATTTTAGGCCTTTTTCTAACTTTGACTTTTACTGCAGCCGAAGTTGTATGTTGGTCGGGGCATGCACGAGAGCATGTTTTCACTGATTAAGTAAGTGATAAATTCTTTGCAAATTCATTTTATTTCCAATTATATATATTATTTCCGCTATATAATGAATTTTGTTTTCGCAGGTACACGCTCTTTTGGATCATGCTTCTAATTAGCAAGCTCGCATTCAGTTACTATGTTGAGGTATCATCTCTATAAATTGTATGAAACTCACCAAATATTTTTTTAAAATTGCAATTCGCTACATTTTTTTCGCTGATCTACGAAACTAATCTTTCAATAGATATCACCTCTTGTTGAACCAACAAAATTGATCATGGCAATGCATATCGATAACTACCAGTGGCATGAAGTCTTTCCAGAGAACGGTAACATTTTAAGACCCTTTTTCACCATCTCTACATATTCTGTTACCGACTTCTAGCTATAACTTCAACTCACATTCTGTAAAATGTTACAGATATTCACAATTTAAGTGTTGTAATTTCAATATGGGCTCCAATTATCCTGGTGAGTAATATGGAACAAGAATTTGGATTGAGAAACTTTATTTTATTCCATTGCTTGTTTACACGTTTTTGTGCCTTAATTCATTCTGTTCTCAAATGTTTCTTCAATGTAGGTTTATTTTATGGATACTCAAATATGGTATGCCATTTATGCCACTTTGTTTGGTGGGATTATTGGAGCCTTCAGCCATTTGGGGGAGGTACGTATACGTATACACAGAGACGTAGCTAATCAATTGCTGTTAACCTTTAATGTTAATTATAATCTTGTTAAACATTTTGTGTCTCTTAGATAAGGACACTTGGAATGCTCCGCTCGAGATTTCAATCTGTACCACTAGCTTTCAGTGAAAGCTTTTGGACTGGAAGAAACAGAAAGAATATACAAGAGGAATCGGTACTGCATTTCATTTTCCAAAATGTTCTTATTCTTGATGAAATAATATGACCACATAGATACTAGCTGGAAATTACCTTGAGTATTACCGGTGGAGTTTCTTTTGCAGGATGATGCTTATGAGCGTGATAATATTGCATACTTCTCTCAGGTTTGGAATGAATTTATAAATTCTATGAGAGAAGAAGACCTCATCGGTAACAGGTTCAATTCTAACTGCTTCTTCTCGCTTCATATTTCCGAATTTCGAGCATATAGTTATACCTCTTGATTACTAATTTTTCAGGGATAGAGATTTGCTTCTTGTTCCATACAGTTCAGTCGATGTTTCTGTCATCCAGTGGCCTCCATTCTTGCTTGCTAGCAAGGTATGTCATTTGAGTTACTCTGTAAGGCCAATAGTTTCCACCATGTCGCCACCATACTTCACAAATTGGTCATGGCGGTTGTCAAACAATCAGCCACCATGGTGCTTCCATGGCCGATATTATTAGAGTATTGATACAACAGCCCTAATGTAATATAACTAAAGTTAGTTAAGGGTTAGTTGAGATTCTGTTACAGTTAGGAGTTAGTTATCAAGGGCTGTTATATATACACCCTATCATTTGTAACTACCAATCATAATGAAATAACTCTCTCTCTCTCTCTCTCTCTCTCTCTCTCACACATGAGTTCTCAACTTTTAACATGGTATCAATGAGCTTCTGATCCTTGGTGCCTGTTTTTTGCGCCATGGCTACACCTTTTCCGTCGCATTCATCTACAACAAACGCTGCTAATTCCGCTGCTGCAACAACCTTCAAACAGAAGATTTCTGTGAAATTGGATGATTCCAATTATCGTCAATAGCCTCAACAAGTAGAAGGCGTCTTGCGTGGAACGAAAATGGTGAAATTCGTTGTTTCACCTCAAATTCCTGAGTGTTTTCTTTCCATTGCTGATCGCGATGCTGGAAATGAAAACCCTAGCTTCGTCGCGTGGGAAGAACAAGATGCGTTGTTGTGCACCTGGCTACTGTCAACAATCTCTGATTCGCTTCTCTCAAGATTTGTTTTGCTTCGTCATTCATGGCAGGTATGGGAAGAAGTTCACTCTTATTGCCACACACAGATGAAAACGCGCTCCAGATAGTTACGATCGCTGTCAAAGGGAACGCGCACCATCTCTGAATTTCTTGCTCGTGTTCGAACCATTGTTGACACTTTAATGTCAATTGGTGATCCTGTATTGCATCGTGACCAAATTGAGCTTATCCTAGAAGCTCTACCCTCTGAATTGATCCTGTATTGCATCGTGACCAAATTGAGCTTATCCTAGAAGCTCTACCCTCTGAATTTGATTCAGTAGTGGCTGCTATATTAGATCTGAGTTTGTGTCACTTGGTGAACTTGAGTCTCTTCTTCTTGCTCAAGAGTCACGCATTGAGAAGACCAAGAAAGAGGTCACTGAAGCTGTTTATGTTAATCTCACTCAAGGAAGTCTCAACCTAACCTTCCTAACTCTGCTGAACCTCATGACTCAAATCAGTATGATGCTCCTGGTGTTGGTTTTGGTGGATGTCATAATCAGTCTCGTGGCAAAAGACAACGTGGTGGTTGATTTCGTGGTCGTGGTGGTGCTCGCCATGGCTATATAAGTGCAGATCAATGCCAAATCTGCAATAAGCCAGACCATGATGCCAGCTATTGCTATTATCATCAGAGTCCTATGGCTATCCTCCTGCTCCTGTAAACTTTGGTATGCCACAATCAAATGTGTGGACTCATCCTGGATATAGGGCACCTAATCCTCAGTTTTTCTCTGCTCCTAGACCTGACAATCCCTCTGTCCAATCTCACTATGCCTCACCAAGACCTTAGGCACTTGTAGCTGGTACAGAGTACACTCCCTTCTACAATCAAAACTGGTATCCTGATTCTGGAGCTACTGATCATGTCACTCCTGATGCCTCAAATCTGGTGGAATCCATTTCTCTTCTTGGTTCTGATCAGGTTCATGTGGGAAATGGACAAGGTTTGGCTATTACTTCTCTTGGCTCTATGACATTTTCTTCAAATTTATGCTCTGATAAGTCTCTTAAACTCAATAATCTTCTCTTAGTACCCTCTATTACTAAGAATCTGGTCAGTGTCAGTCAATTTGCCAAAGATAATCTGGTCTTTTTTGAGTTTCATGCTAATGATTGTTTTGTCAAATGCCAAGCTACCTCTAAGGTGTTGCTGAAGGGCTCACTTGGTAGTGATGGACTTTACAAGTTTGACAGCTCTCCTCATTCTGCATCATCTCCACAAGTGCTCAGTGTTGCTCATCAAACAGCAAGTCATCATTCTTCATCCCCTCAGTTAGGACCTAGGCTTGATTTTCATGTTCAGTGTAATAATGTCAATATTTCTAGTCCTAGTTTGTATCAAATATGGCATCAGAAGTTAGGGCATCCTAGTCATGAAACTCTAAAACATATTCTTCAACTATGTAACATTCATATTCCTAATAAAACCTTTACAGATTTTTGCAATGCTTGTTGCATGGGCAAGGTCCATAGATTACCTTCTGTTGCTTCTACCACTGTCTATACTAAACCACTAGAATTGGTTTTTTGTGATCTATGGGGACCTTCCCCTGTTACTTCTTCTTGTGGTTTTAATATTTTCTCACATGTGTTGATGCTTACAGCAGGTATACATGGGTGTACCCTCTCAAACTCAAGTCTCACACACTTCACACATTTGTTCGGTTCAAAGCACTCATTGAATTACAACTTAATCTTAAAATTAAGTCTGTCCAAACTGATGGTGGTGGTGAATTCAAGCCCCTCACCCGTTTTCTGACCTCTCATGGCATCATTCACAGAATTACATGCCCCCATACTCATTATCAAAATGGGTATGTGGAGAGGAAACACAGGCATATTGTTGAAACAGGTTTGACACTCCTAGCCCAAGCCAGGTTGCCTCTCTATTTTTGGGATCATGCTTTTCTCACAACCACTTACCTCATCAATAGACTTCCCACACCCATTTTGTCTAATGTTTCTCCTTTCTTTCTTCTCTATTTCAAATATCCTGACTACAAATTTTTGAAGCCTTTTGGTTGCTCTTGCTTTCCCTATTTAAGACCTTACAATTCTAACAAGTTTGCTATGCACTCCACAGAATGTATATTCCTTGGCTATTCTTCATCACACAAAGGCTACAAATGTATGGATTCTAGTGGCAGGATTTTCATTTCCAAAGATGTCTTGTTTAATGAGGTTAGATTTCCTTATCCAGAGTTGTTCCCTTCTCATCAGTCCGAGCCTACTATTGTGCTAGCAAGCTCACCTCAATTTGGTTCCTCCATTCCTAGACCTTTGCAGGTTCATAATCCCACTCAACACCTTTCCCCTTTGCCAAGTCCTAGTCCCTCTATTTCTGATTCACCAAGTCCCAATGATTCAGTTCCCTCCAATTCATCTACTCCTTTGCCTAACACTCCTTTGCCTAGCCAAAATGGTCCAGCCAGCTCTAATTCTTCTGCACCTATACAATCTGTTCCTAGTTCTATGGCACAATCTCAACATTTGTCTTCTATCACTGTCCTTCTTATGTCTCAGCCTTTATCCTCTTCACCTCAGGCTACTAATGTTTCTTCCTCTCCATCACCATCTCCTATGACTTCTCTCTCCCTGTGTCAGGGAGTTCTTCCTCTTCACCTACTTCTAATGAACCTTCACCCTTGTCATCTACCTCCTCACCCATACCTTCTATACACCCTCAAAATACACATCCTATGGTCACCAGGGCCAAAAATGGCATTGTTCAACCCAGGTTACATCCTACTCTTCTTCTAACACATCTTGAACCAACATCCTATAAACAGGCTATGGCTGCTCCTGAGTGGTTTGCTGCTATGAAATTTGAATATGAGGCATTACTGGAAAACAACACTTGGACTCTTGTTTCTCATCCAGCTCACAGAAAACCTATTGGCTTTAAGTGGGTTTTTAGAGTGAAGGAAAATCCAGATGGCTCAGTTAACAAGTACAAGGCCAGGTTGGTGGCTAAAGGGTTCCATCAAGTTGAAGGTTTTAACTACACTGAGACATTCTCACCTTTAGTAAAACCAATTACTGTCAGAGCTGCCTTAACTTTAGCTATTTCTAAAAAACGGGCTATCCAACAGTTGGATGTTAATAATGCCTTTTTAGATGGCATTCTCAATGAAGAGGTCTATATGGTACAACCTCCTGGTTTTGTGCAAGGTGACTCAGGCTTGGTTTGTAAGCTGCACAAAGCTCTTTATGGCCTTAAGCAGGCTCCTAGAGCCAGGTTTGATAGACTCAAAGGTGCTCTTCTTTCCCTTGGATTTATAGCCAGCAAGTGTGATCCTTCTCTATTCATCTTGCACTCTACTGTGTGTTACACACTTGTCTTAGTGTATGTTGATGATATTATCATCACTGGCTCCTACCAGCAGTTCATACACACTTTGGTGTCCAAGCTTAATCTATCATTTTCTCTGAAAGATCTTGGTCAGCCGGACTATTTTCTTGGCATAGAGATTCATCATCTTGCCAATGACTCTCTTGTTATCCCAAGGAAAATATATTAGGGATCTCTTGACAAGAACAAACATGATTGCAGCCAAGGGAATTGCCTCTCCTATGGCCTCCAACACCAAACTTTCTAAAGTTGGCTCAGCTCAAGTGAGCGATCCAACTTACTTCAGGTCTGCGGTAGGAGCTCTACAATATGCTACAGTTACAAGATCTGAAATTTCCTATGCTGTTAACAAGGTTTGCCAATTTCTGTCTAATCTTTTAGAGTATCATTGGAAGGCAGTTAAGAGAATTTTAGATACTTGCAGGACAACCCCAGCCATGGTCTTTTACTTGCTCCAGCCAATCTCAGCACTCCCATTACAATCACAGGTTTCTGTGATGCTGACTGGGCCTCTGATCCTGATGATAGGAGG